GAATTGGATGAACCCATGGGCCGGTTCAAATCCGCCCTTGGGGTCGAATGAACCGGGTGGGGTCAAATAACCGAGGGGGGATGGGATCCTCCTGGGTTGGATGAACCCATGGGCCGGTTCAAATCCGCCCCTGGGGTCCAATGGACCGGCTGGGGGGTCAAATAACCGAGGGGGGATGGGATCTTGGGTTGGATGAGCCCATGGGCCGGTTCAAATCCGCCCTAGGGGTCCAATGGACCGGGTGGGGGTAAAAAAACCGAGGGGGGATGGGCCCAAGGGTTGGATGAGCCCATGGGCCGGTTCAAATCCGCCCTTGGGGTCAAATGAACCGGCTGGGGGGGTCAGAATGGCCGAGCGGGGATGGGCTCTTGAATTGGATGAACCCATGGGCCGGTTCAAATCCGCCCTTGGGGTCGAATGAACCGGCTGGGGGGTCGAATTACAGAGGGGGAATGGGCTCTTGGGTCGGATGAAACCATGGGCCGGTTCAAATCCGCCCTTGGGGTCAAATGAACCGGCGGGGGGGTCAAATAACCGAGGGGGGATGGGATCCTGGGTTGGATGAACCCATGGGCCGGTTCAAACCCGCCCCTGGGGTCCAATGGACCGGGCGGGGGGTAAAAAAAAACCGAGGGGGGGTGGTCCCAAGGGATGGATGAACCCATGGGCCGGTTCTAATCCGCCCTTGGGGTCAAATGAACCGGCTGGGGGGTAAAAGAAACCGAGGGGGGATGGGCTCTTGAATTGGATGAACCCATGGGCCGGTTCAAATCCGCCCTTGGGGTCGAATGAACCGGGTGGGGGGTCAAATAACCGAGGGGGGATGGGATCCTCCTGGGTTGGATGAACCCATGGGCCGGTTCAAATCCGCCCCTGGGGTCCAATGGACCGGCTGGGGGGTCAAATAACCGAGGGGGGATGGGATCTTGGGTTGGATGAGCCCATGGGCCGGTTCAGATCCGCCCTAGGGGTCCAATGGACCGGGTGGGGGGTAAAAAAACCGAGGGGGGATGGGCCCAAGGGTTGGATGAGCCCATGGGCCGGTTCAAATCCGCCCTTGGGGTCAAATGAACCGGCTGGGGGGGTCAGAATGGCCGAGCGGGGATGGGCTCTTGAATTGGATGAACCCATGGGCCGGTTCAAATCCGCCCTTGGGATCAAATGACCCGGCTGGGGGGTCCCAAGGGTCAATCTTGGCATCCCATGAACGCATAAACAGGTTGCCCCAAACGATGGCAACCCAACGTAATCCATGCCATAGGCCTATTAATACCCCAGCAAAGGGGTATTTTTCCTCTCCCCATCATTCGGCCATGTGTTTTCGGATTGCCCCAAACGACGGTAACCCAACATAATCCAGGTCATAGGCCTAGGAATACCCTAGGGAAGTGGTATTTTTCCTCTCCCCATCATTTGGCCATATGTTTTCGGATTGCCCCAAACGACGGTAACCCAACGTAATCCAGGCCATAGGCCTAGGAATACCCTAGGGAAGTGGTATTTTTCCTCTCCCCATCATTCGGCCATGTGTTTTCGGATTGCCCCAAACGACGGTAACCCAACGTAATCCAGGTCATAGGCCTAGGAATACCCTAGGGAAGTGGCATTTTTCCTCTCCCCATCATTCGGCCATATTTTTTCGGATTGCCCCAAACGACGGTAACCCAACGTAATCCAGGTCATAGGCCTAGGAATACCCTAGGGAAGTGGTATTTTTCCTCTCCCCATCATTCGGCCATGTGTTTTCGGATTGCCCCAAACGACGGTAACCCAACGTAATCCAGGTCATAGGCCTAGGAATACCCTAGGGAAGTGGTATTTTTCCTCTCCCCATCATTCGGCCATGTGTTTTCGGATTGCCCCAAACGACGGTAACCCAACGTAATCCAGGTCATAGGCCTAGGAATACTCTAGGGATGGGGCATTCTACCACTCCCCATCACTTGGGTTTCGGTTCTTGATTGCCCCAAACAATCGTAACCCAACGCAATGCAGGCCATTGGCATAGGAATACCCTGCCTAGGCTTTGACCTTGATGGTTCGATCGATCCGGACCCGAATGGGTTCGATACGAATGGGGCCGGTGAATCCGGATCCGGATGGGTTCGATCCAAATGGGTTCGATCGACTCGGATCCGGATCGATTCCATCCGAATCGGTTCGATCGAACCGGATCCGGATGGGTTCGATCGATCCGGATCCGGATGGGTTCGATAAGGATGGGTTCGATCGACTCGGATCCGGATGGGTTCGATACGAATGGGTTCGATCGACTCGGATCCGGATTGGTTCGATCGACTCGGATCCGGATCGATTCCATCCGAATGGGTTCGATCGAACCGGATCCGGATGGGTTCGATCGATCCGCACCCGGGTGGGTTCGATCCAAATGGGTTCGACCGACTCGGATCCGGATCGATTCCATCCGAATCGGTTCGATCGAACCGGATCCGGATGGGTTCGATCCGGATCCGGATGGGTTCGATAAGGATGGGTTCGATCCGAATGGGTTCGATCGACTCGGATCCGGATGGGTTCGATCCGAATGGGTTCGATCGACTCGGATCCGGATTGGTTCGATCGACTCGGATCCGGATCGATTCCATCCGAATGGGTTCGATCGAACCGGATCCGGATGGGTTCGATCGATCCGGATCCGGATGGGTTCGATCGACTCGGATCCGGATGGGTTCGATCGGCTCGGATCCGGATGGGTTCGATCGATCCGGATCCGGATGGGCTTGGGTCCGAAAGGGTTCATTTGATCCGGATCCGGACGGATTCGATCGATCCGGACCCGGGTGGGTTCGATCCGAATGGGTTCGATCGACTCGGATCCGGATGGGCTCGATAGGGATGGGTTCTATCCGAATGGGTTCGATCGACTCGGATCCGGATGGGTTCGATCGATCCGGATCCGGATGGGTTCAATTGATCCGGATCCGGATGGGTTTGATCCACACGGGTTCGATCGATCCGGATCCGGATCGGCTCGATAAGGATGGGTTCGATCGACTCGGATCCGAATGGGTTCGATCGATCCAGATCCGGATCCGGATGGGTTCCATCCGAATGGGTTCGATCAAACCCATCCGGGGTCCGATCCGGATGGATTCCATCACTTGGGTTCCGGGGACTTGATTGCCCCAAACGACGGTAACCCAACGTAATCCAGGTCATTGGCCTAGGAATACAGGAGGGAAGGGGTGCTCTACCTCTCCCCAACCCTTGGCACGGGCCATCGGATTGCCCCAAACGACGGTAACCCAACGTAATCCAGGTCATTGGCCTAAGAATACGGGGGGGAAGGGGTGCTCTACCTCTCCCCAACCCTTGGCACAAGCCATCCGATTGCCCCAAACGACGGTAACCCAACGTAATCCAGGTCATTGGCCTAAGAATACGGGGGGGGGGAGGGGTGCTCCACCTCTCCCCAACCCTTGGCACGGGCCATCGGATTGCCCCAAACGACGGTAACCCAACGTAATCCAGGTCATTGGCCTAAGAATACGGGGGGGGGGAGGGGTGCTCCACCTCTCCCCAACCCTTGGCATGGGCCATCCGATTGCCCCAAACGACGGTAACCCAACGTAATCCAGGTCATTGGCCTAAGAATACGGGGGGGGGGGAGGGGTGCTCCACCTCTCCCCAACCCTTGGCATGGGCCATCCGATTGCCCCAAACGATGGTAACCCAACGTAATCGGGGTCATTGGCCTAAGAATACAGGAGGGGAGGGGTGCTCCACCTCTCCCCAACCCTTGGCTCGGGGCATCCGGTTGCCCCAAACGACGGTAAGCCAACGTAATCCAGGTCATTGGCCTAAGAATACGGGGGGGGGGAGGGGTGCTCCACCTCTCCCCAACCCTTGGCATGGGCCATCCGATTGCCCCAAACGATGGTAACCCAACGTAATCGGGGTCATTGGCCTAAGAATACAGGAGGGGAGGGGTGCTCCACCTCTCCCCAACCCTTGGCTCGGGGCATCCGGTTGCCCCAAACGACGGTAAGCCAACGTAATCCAGGTCATTGGCCTAAGAATGCCGGAGGGGAGGGGCTCCTTACCTCTCCCCAACCCCTGGCATGGTGGAACCGATTGCCCCAAACGACGGTAAGCCAACGTAATCGAGGTGGTTTTCCTAAGAATACTGCAGGGGAGGGGTGCTCTACCTCTCCCCGACCCCTGGCATGGGTCATACGGTTGCCTCAAATGACGGTAACCCAACGTAATCCGGGTCATTGGCCTAAGAACACCGGAGGGGAGGGGTGCTCTATCTTTCCCCAACCCTTGGCATGTGGGCATAGATTGCCCCAAACGACGGTAAGCCAACGTAATCCGGGTCACTGGCCTAAGAACAACGGAGGGGAGGAGTGCTCTACCTCTCCCCAACCCTTGCCACGGGGAAATCGATTGCCCCAAACGACGGTAAGCCAACGTAATCCAGGTCATTGGCCTAAGAATACTGGGCGGGAGGGGTGCTCCACCTCTCCCCAACCCCTGGCATCTGGGAATCGATTGCTCCAAACGACGGTAAGCCAGCGTAATCCGGGTGGTTGGCCTAAGAAAATCCGGGGGAAGGGGTGCTCCACCTCTCCCCGAACCTTTGCAAGGGTCACTCGGTTGCGCCAAACGACGGTAAGCCAACGTAATCCAGGTGGTTAGCCTAAGAAGGTTTGGGGGAAGTGGCTTTTCACCTCTTCTCACTAATCTTTGGGTAGGACGGTTGCTTGAAAAGTCGGTAAGCCAAGGTAATCCGAGGCCTTTCCGTAGTAATAATTCGGGGAGAGGAGAACTGGCCCTCAAACCACAAGCAAGGCGGATTACCTAGGTATGAAGTCGAGCTTGTCATGAGGTCCTATGAGGCACCGGCCCGGGCCACGGAGGGCGGCACTCTGTGATCCGGGGGGGAGCGTCCCGTGAGACGTGCGCATGGACTCTCTTCGGAGGGTTGGTGCGCACAGGCCCCAGCGGAGGGGGCGGGGAGCTCTCCAGGTGCGGAGGATCACCTGGTAAAATGAAGGGAGATGGCACGGTGGGGGGAGATGCCCTGGCCAAAACGAAAAAGGTGGCGAGAAAGGCAGGGCCGGCTCTGGCTAAGATTCAATGCAGAGCACCGATCATTCGAGGAGTCGAAAGGGCAACGGGAAACCGTTGCAGGTTGGCCAGTTCAGCTACCCCGCGCCCTCCTTGGAGGGCGATGGGTAGATGGCGTGCCTC